CACCTTCAGGAGAACATTTTGTCCACCCTTGAATTAGACGAAGATGTGAAAATAGGGACAAAAAGCAAGGACCCCCTTGTGTACCCCAAGAAACACAAATAGCCTATTCAGCTCTTTTGCAGTTTATGATAGTAATGATGGACCATCAAGAGACTCTCTCTAGGCTTTTGTATACCTCCTCAATGATTAGGAAAGCTAGTGTGAGCTACCAACGTTCGCCTGTTACACTTGCGTGCCAAGCAGGCCGAGATCAGTGTTCTACCTCATATACACAACTAGTATTGCATATAACCATTTGCACATTTTCCCAGTTTGGCTTTAATGGACCTGCCTGCTGCTGCACTTCAAGGACAAAATGAGGAAGGTTATAGGAGAAGCCCATACTGTAACACTTTCGTTATGTCTTCAAGGTGCCAGAGAACTCTTGGTTTTCAATTGTGCAAGGAAGATGCTCCTGTAACTTCCTCACACTTTTTAAAGGGGGGCACACAAGATATACCTGTGTCATGGATGCTGGACTATCAAGCCAAAGGGACTGACCCATACAGAAAGACACTAAGTAAACCCTCAGACTGCTAAGAATGGTGCCCCAGTCTTCATATAGGTGTGCGGGAAAGCATAAGGAGCACAACACAGCCTTTTCACTGCACTCACATTTTATTTGCAAAAATGCAATGTATAAAAGACACACAGCACATCCCATCTGCACTCGCCTCCCTTATACCAGGCCTAGATCTGTGTACGCCACAACAAATCAGACACACCCTGCACAGCCGATTGATGGACAGTGAAATAACCTGATTGTGCAATGGTGCAAAGGAAGAACCCCATTATACATGTTCCTTAATAAACCTACACAGACTTCTAAAAGGACCGTTGGAAACATCTCTTGCTCTTCGGGAAGCACGCTGCCACCTCATCTGTCTAAAGAATGTGCAAGGACTACTTCATTTACCACCAGCAGTGAAGCGTTTACTCCTTATACGTGCCTTTGTTTACACTGTGATCTTTACAAGCTACAAATTGAGTCTATGAGAGGTAGACAATGAGAACCTGGAGTTCCACAGCAGAACTCTTAAGTCTGGTGAAGGGGTTCCTTTAGGCAGCTGCTTTTGTGTTCTCTTCTCTTTCTGCTGACTCTCCCGAAGAGGCTCCTGCAGGAGAAAAGGGCCCAACCACCCACGTGAGGGGAGCATTCTTGGTCACATACTCCATGACCTCTTGCACAGCCGCCTGGGCCTTGTCAATCTTCTCTTGGCTCTCCTTCAGGAAGCCACTGGGAACGTCCTCGAAGGAGTTGGCCTTGGAGAGGGCAGCCTGCAACTCCTCCATGTTGTTGTGAGCCTGCTGGACCTTCTCTTTGAGAGCATCAGGGAGGCCTTGCATGTCAGCCAGGAGCTTCAAGCAGTTAGCCTGCATCTTCTGGGCAATGTTGTGGGAGATCTTCAGAGCCCGGGATTCCATCTGTCATTCAGAAGAGACTCGTTTAAGAGTGACATGTCACAGATGACCCACTCTGAGAAGTCAGCTGATGGGTGGCAAAGGCAGAATATGAAGTTGCAAGGCAAAAATACCCAACATGTGCAGAAGGCACATTGGTTTCGGAATTTGGTCCGTGTTGCCAATTTCTTCCACCCATTAACCCATCCCTCCATCTTTGGACCTTAATGCTTCACAGGGCCACATTATGATACCACCACCCACAGGGCTAAGGTTCTTTGAGCAGCTACAGGCTGGGGGATATCAGCCCTACTCACCCTACTAACACTTCCCACGTATGGGAAAGGGAAAAACACTCTATGGTCAGGAGGATGACCTTTGCCCTCGTCTGTTCCTATTTAACGCCAAAGATAGTTTTTTTTAAAAAAGTTATTTTGAGATATTTAACTTGCGGGGAGACAAATGGAGCTCCCATCCAGCTTTAGCCATAGGAAGAGTTAGAGAGTTCTGGTTTTTTTGTTTTGCAGAACAACTCCCCCACGGCCCTGCTAGCATTCCTTGCTCGCTGGGCAATTCTGAGGGGCTGTTGTCTAAAAAGGCAACTTTTCCAAAGTCTGCCAGAGAGCGACAGCTATTCCTTGCTCTCTTGGCAATGTTTCATTTCTAGTGATGTCCCCCCACGTACCTCCACCTGATTGGCTTCACTGGTCTGGCTCGGCTGGCCTTTAATCCACTCCTGCCACATCCGCTGCAGCTTGTCCTGAACTTTCTGATCCACGGACCTCTTGGTATACTTTATCTGGAAGAGAGTTTTCAAAGCTGTGACACGGAACATAAAAGCAAGACTTGAAGGCATTGTTGCTTTCTCCTCTGAAGTTATGGCCTCTTCTCATTGGGCCTCATGAATTCTACCCCTGCGGACAGTCCCTCTTTAAACAGATTTCTGGAGAACCAGGTTTCCAACGCCCTTCCACAATCCAGCCCAGCACAAGCAACAAGATCCAGACAGGGTCCTTTATGACCTCCATCAAGTTCTAGAGAATAAATGTCCATCTCCTTATGGTGTGGAGTACTTTAATGAATGAGTCTGAGTGGTCTGCCCATCCTTTCTTCCAGGCACAAAGTACTTTCCCCCACCCCGCTCACTGAACTGCAGCAAAGCATCCATATAGGTCATGCCTCTTAGAACCAAAGACTTCCCAGGATTACCAACATAATGTTTACAGTCTTTGGCATGTCTTTTGAAAGATGCTGCTAGCAGGATTCTCCTATATGGCCACTGTGGGTCCTTTTAAGGAGAAAGGTGAGGTAAATCTATTTTAAATAAATAAATACTCAGCCAAATGAAACATGAAGAACGTAGGCCAGGTATTCACAAAGTTAAATTGATAGCTCAAAGCAGTCACCTGTATTGAGGCAACAAGAAGAAAGGAGTTGAATTCTGTCCCAACAGCATCTTCCTAATCCAATAGTTACCTATTATTTTGTAGGGAAAGCATAAGAAGAGCCCTGCTGGATTAAGCCAAGGGCCCATCTAGTCCAGCTCCCTGTATCTCACAGTGGCCCCACGAGATGCCTCTGGGAGCACAAGAGGCAACTAGATACCCGTCTCCCGATACCCCTCCCCTACATCTGGCATTTTGAGGTACCTTCTTTTTAAGCCTGGAGATTACACATTCCCATCATGGCTTGTAACCTGTGATGGACTTTTCCTCCAGAAATCTGTCCAATCCCCTTTTAAAGGCATCTAGGCTAGATGCCATCACCAGATCCTGTGGCAAGGAGTTCCACAGACTAACAGGCTGGGTTAAGAGATAGTTTCCTTTGTCCCTTCTCACTCTCCCAACACTCAATTTGAGTAGATGTCCCCTGCTTCTGGTACTCAGTGAAAGGGAAAAGAGCTTCCCTCTATCCATCACCTGCATAATTTTATACATCTTAGTCATGTCCCACCTCAGGTGCCTTTTCTCTAGACTAAACAGCCCCAAACGCTGTATTCTTTCCTCATAAGGGAGGTGCCCCAGCCCAGTCGTCATTTTAGTCGCTCTCTTCTGCACCTTTTCCAGTTCCACTATGCCTTTTTTGAGGTTCGGTGACCAGAACTGTACGCAGTACTCCAGGTGCGGCCTTCCAAACATTTTGAACAATGGCATTATAATGTTGGGCTGTTTTATTTTCCATCCTCTTTTTAATGATACCTAGCATGAAATTGACCTTCACTGCTGCGGCACACTGGGTTGACACTTCCATCGAGCTGTCCACCAGCACACCAAGATCTCTTTCCTGATCTGTCACGGCCAGCTCAGAACCCATCAGCTGATAAATAAAGCTTTGTTTTTTTGCCCCAATGTGCATTACTTTACATTTTCTTATATTAAAATGCAGTTGTCAATCCTTTCTGGTCTCCACCACCTGGAAAAGTTTTGTGTCATCTGCAAACCTCACTGCATACCCCCGTCTCCAGGCCATTTATGAACAGGTTGAGAAGCACCGGTCCCAAGACAGTTAAGTACTCTGCTTGTTCAGTTTTAAGAACTCTTCATAGCTCATGCCAACTGCACTGAACTCAACTGCACTTTGCCACCTTGTTCTGAATTTTAAAAAAAGATTCTACACCCTCTAAAAGAAACACACAATTTCGGCATCCCAAGGCTTAATACACATGGCATCGGATATATCAGAAAAAGGGACTATGAGGCCACTCTAGATCTTGTAGAAATTCCCACCACCCATGACCACTGGCCATTGTGGTTGAGAGCTGTCATCCTGTAACACCTGGAAGGCTACCCATTGCCTACTCTTGATACATGTCCAAGGCAAATGTGTTCAAGGTCCAGAACCCTGCTAGCCTTGCTTTCACCGTTAAAGGGAGCACTACTTTTAAACACGAGACAAGCATATTGTCTGCTTTGACCCTAAAATAACCAAAACAATTTGGGACACTTGTTAAAAGTGTTAGCAAGTATAACAACAAAAAGAGAGAAGCAAATACATTGAAAAACATAGTCACCAGTTGCTGGTCATGAGCCAACCCCACTCTTCCAACACCATTCTGTAAATTTTAAATCCACT